CTACCGGGCGCTCAAGCGCGCGTTATCGGGCGCTAAAGCCTCCATCTGGGCGCTTAAGCGCGCGGAGGCAGAAAGCATCAGGTCTTTCAGTATAAATGGGCGCTCAAGCGCGCACCAGGTCGCTCAAGCGCGATTTCCTGGGCGCTTAAGCCCCCATTTGGGACGTTTTAGCGCGCAGAGGCAGAAGCATCTCCTCCTTCAGTGGCTAAGGGCGCTCAACCGCGAACCAGGGCGCTCAAGCGCGCAACCCTGGGCGCTTAAGCCCCCACTCGGGGCGCTCCAGCGCGAGGAGGCAGTGAGCATGGGCTCTCACAGAGGCAGCAGGGCGCTGAAGCGCGCACCAGGGCGCTTGAGCGCGCTGCCAGGGAATTCACCCTCTCTCATTTCTCAAGCCCAAAACTAGGGGAAAAGGGCATCCCCATGACAAGCCTCAATGGTTCATGCCTCTAAACTTAACCCTAGCACTTATCCAACCTCTCTTCATGAATTATACTAAAATTTGGGCAGCATAACCTTTGTTTTCTCAACAATTTCCAATTTAGAACTAGGTACCTAATATAATTTCCAGCTCAACAATCCAATATTCATCATGCATTCATAACCTTGAAGTAAATAGCATTAATACAAGTTTAATTACATAACGGGGAACTTAGCTACAAAAGGCTATGATCATCCCTTGGCTCTCATCAACAAAAGAGATATTCAATGGCATGATCATAGGCTAAGTCCATCAAATATAACGAGTTATACATACGTCAATGCTATCAATGATCAATCCTATACATGTAAATCTACAAAATGACATGTATAATATCAAAAGACAGAATCCTCATGCATCACTACTAGTCCAAGTATGGCCACTTGCCACTGGTGGCTCATGCAGCATCCTTACCTGAAAGGGGGTCCCCACAACACGGGGTGAGATATATGAATATATCCAGTAAACCAGGGGTCCTTGGAGCATCTCTCCACCCCACAGTTCCATATCAGTGTAATAGCAATAACAATAATAATGCAGTAAATACATATCTATGCAAAGTGCAATAACATCTCCAGGAGAAATCCCTCGAGCTCTCAAGCTGTCCTAAGGAAACTCAGATGAAAATAGTCCTACTGGCCAGCTAACTACCAAGTATGATTTACGCATCGTCATGCAACATACCACATAGGGAAACACCATCATATGCCACACCAAATGCATACACATACGTATAACAAAGCATTACACTATTTCATTGCATTTATATACACTATAATTACCACTACCCTTTCAGGGCTTGGTGGAACAATCAAGGGAATTACACCCAAGGTCCGAAGGCTTACCTCAAGCTTTAGCCAACCTTTGTTCCCACCAACCGGTTCCACAATCAATCAACTTTGGTTTCAAGCTATGGTTTACACAGCACTCACCTACATCCAGGTGTCATAGCATCAATCATGCAATTCAATGAATATCTACATATATTCATCATCAACACAACAATACCACACCACAATTGGCATGGACTTACCTATCCCAAAGAGCTAATCAAGCTCCATTGCTTGCTCCAATGGTTGATCACTTACGGTTGGTCCAAATGCCTCAATCCTAGACATCATTAGGACACAATCATCAATCAACCAAACCAAACCATTTATCATTAATGCAAGGAAATCCAATATCAAGCATTAAATCCTGCCATTTTCAAAGTATAGTCATATAACTATCTAAGCTCATTTCCACCGATTAAATGCAATTCCTAGCATTTTTCACAACATACACTAAGCTTCATTCTTCCTAGAACATAGCTAATTTAACCACATTTCATCAAAACCCCAATTTACTATTCATTGAACCCTAACTCATGCAATTTTCTATGAAAATAAGGTTCAAGGGGTAGAATCTTACCACCAATGGTTTCACAACCAAGGGTTGATGGCTCCTCAAGCTTCAATGGAGGTTGAAGCTCTCAAACACCTCAATTTCTCCAAAGGGTTGAATTTTTGAGGGGCAATATCTCACCACACAAAGCTCCCCACTAAGAACCTAGCTTGGATTAATGATGAGGGCGAGATTCTCAGCGATTTAGGCTTTTGAATCACTCAGAATGGTTGAGATTTGCAATCTCTAGGTTTTCCCCTCACCTTCCTCTCTTCTCCCTCTCTTCTCTTCTCCTCCTTTTTGATTGCTGTTCGACGGGTCAATGGGGGGAAATGGGTTTTCTATGTGCTTTCTAAGTCACTTACTTAGTTAAGTGGCTTATGTGGGTATTGGTTCATCTATCTATTCAACTCCATTAATTACCAAACTTTACCCAAAAGTCTGGAATATTATTCTAGGAATATTTCCGCTTTTATTTTTATATTTTGGGTACTTTTGCTAACACCCATTTATACCCCTTAATTTTCACTGAGTACACTTTTTAACTTCAAAGTGACTCAGATTCATTTAATTAAGCCTTATACTTAATTTTACTCACTAAAACATGCTTAATTATTTAATTACATGTAATTTGCTAATTAATTGGGTTAGGGCTATTATAGTCATCCCACCTTTTAGCGATTTTGTCCGCAAAATCAAGAACATACATGTCCTTAAACTAAGGATATTGCCGGAGAAGCTCGTCTTCTCGCTCCCAAGTGGACTCTTCAGGCGTCCTTCCTTCCCATTGAACTTTCACCATAGGAATGGATTTATTCCTCAGCCTCTTCTCATCTCTTTCGAGTATTTTCAGTGGCCCAATAGGAGTCTTCAAATTCTCCCGGATCTCAACATTATCAGGTTGAACCACATGAGAAGGATCAGCTACATAAGAAGAGATGAGAAGACGAGAAGAGAAGAGGCTGAAAATACTTTTGGCCAAATACTTCTTTCTACCCCAAATCTCCTTCAATGAGTCTTCAAGTTTTGGCCAAATACTTTTTTCTACCCCAATTTTTTATTTCATATAACTTTTTGAGATTTACACAATGATATCTCATTGAAGGAGATTTGGCCAAAAAAATTGGGATATTTTATAATGAAACTTTGAAAGGTCATAACTTTCGATTTGGGTGTCCGAATTAAGTATTTTTTTATTCCACGTAATTTTTTGAGAGCTATGTTCTAGCAAATACACGGAGGGGATTTGGTCAAAATATTTTCCCAAAAAGTGCTTCTTTGTGCACCGTTTGATATATTTTATTTTTGTGAATATTGTTATTTAAATTTTACTTTTCCGATACTAACAAATAATCTTTCAAAAATTTTACAATGCATAGATCTTAAGAATTTACGTGAAATAAAAAAAATCACCTAATTTGGACACCTGAGTCAAAAGTTATGAAGTTATGATATTCTGAAGTTTTAAGGTTAAACTATTGACTTTTTTGTGTCATGTGTCATCACCGAGTGAGTCGCATCCAAATAAGACGTGACCAAGCACCCTAATGCGCCCAATCTAGAGACGACCGGTCGAGTCCCGTTTGGGCGCAACTAATTGCTATACATTCGTAAATAAATTCCAAACTGTCACATTTTCGTAATATTTTATTTAAACAATAATATTTTAATTTTTTTTTCCTATTTGTTCATCCTTGTGTTTATATCCCAACTCCAAAGCACCGACACGCTAAATTTTTCAAAATGTGCGTGTTGGACACATGTTCGACACGGACACGCTCTCACATGCGGACAACATTTTGGGACACACAATCAACGCTCCGACACGTTTTTTCGACACACAATCAACTTTTTCCGACACTCGGTCAACGCTCCGACACATTTTTTTTTTACTTCTTAATTTTATTTTATTAACTAAAAATAAAAAAAATAATTTATAAATTAATTTTTTTCTGTTATGAAATTTACATGAAAAATTAACAAGGTATGAAATTTTTTTTTTGTTTATATTTATATTATGAAATTTGAATATTTGATTGGTTCTATAACTTATTATAGACCGTTATATGTATTAAACATAGATTATATTATATATATTAAAAATATTATTTAATATCAAAACGTGTCCCAACGTGTCGAAATATGACATTTTTTAGAATTAACGTATCGACGTGTCGTGTCGTGTCCCGTGTCAGTGTCGGTGCATCATAGTATCCCAATATGCCGTTATGATACCAAGATAACTTGTGTGGTTGTGGTTGCTGATTTTTTTTTTCATTTATTCTGTTTTAATCCGGTTTGAGCACTGTACCATCTATAATTATTGGAGATAATTCTCTCAGTATCATTTTTTTCATTCCATTATGGTGATCTCTTTGATGCTTATCCTTATCATTATATGATAATTCTCTCGGTATCATGTTTAAAATCAGATTAGTTAGGTGATTAAATTAAAAAAAAAACTAATAATATAACTTAACAAGAACATGTGATCAAATAGCATGCACTTAAAACAAAAATTTCTTTCATGTACTATCTTCAAATCCTCTTAGAAAAAAGGTTTCTCCATTCCTATAACTATGTTACGGTGCCAATTTACAAAATTGGCGGAGGAAGCTCATACATATATAACCAGGACCTGCTTGTATTGTATAGCCTTTCATAGAAATTAGTCTCCTATAAAATGGAGTACTCAAATAACTATCCAACAAAACAACCAAGAATCCCTGCTAGAAAACAATATAAATATATATATATTTATAAATGCATATTGTTGGGTTTTAAACTTTATTTGAATAAAAGAAAATAGAAAATGAAAGGTTTTTTTGGTGAAGAGGTGTGTCTCTTAGGAATTTGTTAGTGGACATTAATGAGTTTAAAGTTTCTAAGAAGTAGTCATTAATGTGTTTAGATTTCCTAAGTTAGTCATTAGTATTTCTAGTTATTTGCTATTGCTTTTAAATAGTACCATGTAAATCATTTGAATGTAAGGCTTGAATGTTAAAAGATATACAAAGAGGTATATTCAGAGAACTCCTTGTGTGAGTGAAGTGTTTGAGAGAAACACCATTAGGACCTGCGATTCACACATATGAGGTAGCTATGCTACCTAGCTAGTAGCTTATAATAGTTAATCAAACTATGATATGACAATATCTAAAGAGTGTAATGAATCATTGGACTTGAGGTGGTTCCTGCAAGTGGGGCAAGAAGAATGAGAAAGCAACCACTTATCAATGCAAGCAACATGGAAACGGTGATTGCAACTTGGGAGGAACCTTAACTTGTCACCATCAGAGAAATCTACTAAGCAAATGACACAAATAGAAGCTGAAGATGGAGTAGAACCAGAATGGTTGTAAGTTGAGGTTGGCAAAGCTACCATTTCTTTCTTCTTGAGGCCAGAATTGAGCCTGCGAGAAACAATCCATTGCTGAGGCTGTGTAAGGACACGGTTAGCACATTGGAACACACATTGTAACCTTGTGTTGAGGCCAAGAGCACAAACAAAAGCACAAACAATGGCTGCTATAAGAACCATTAAATTGAAACCAGCTGCAGCAGGTTCTGAAGGATTAATGCATGGTTTGCTTATGGTGGGGCTAATAGTGGGTGCTCCTGTGGGAGTGTGAGTTTGAAAGTGAATTTCAGCCATGGAGTATGAGAAGTTATAAGGAAATTTTGGTACATAAAGTGGAACACATAGAAACGTACAAGCACAAAGGAACGTATATTGCAGGTAATTACACAAAATATGAAAGTGATGAAATTGGTGGGGTAAGGGCATAAGATATTGCTTACTTGATAATCCACTTTCTTCCTTTTTTTTTTTTTTTTTTTTGTTTATGCGCTTCAAAGGAGTGTAAAAAGCAATAAGTGATTATTTTCCTACTTTGCTCTCTCCTCTTCTATGATACATGAATTTTGAGCTTGCCGATATGTACTTGGACTCATTTAGCATACTCATACCAATCCTAATAATTTTCTCAATCTCTAGGAGAGTTTGCAATAATATAATTGATCAGAACCATTTCACGTAGGATATTGGGCTAGTCCATGAAGGGCCCAACAGGCCTAACGCCTAAGGTTTCATGGTTAAGGAAATGCAGTCATCGCATATAAATTGGCAATCCGCCAATCCCGCAAGTACTCTTACACATAGCATCAGCTCAATTTATTATCGCTGCACGACATCAGCAGCTCAGGATTCTATAATCACCCTAATAACTAATGGCTAAGGGATAGGCACCTAGCTAGCTCTAACAGTAATGCCTATGAGGCATAGCTCATAAATAGACATCTCACACAAGATAGCCAATAAGAGCCATCATTGTGCATTTATGAGATTAAGTACTGCCATACTAAGGTGACATAAATAGGACAGTTAACTACTAAATAGAGGCTTGGAACCCGAGTATGATCATCTTTCTCATCTTAACCGAATTCTTATTACTCATATACTGACATGAGAATCAGAATGTTTTGTAGTCTCAAACAAATAAGAGATAATAAGTTAATTGTGGTGGAGCAAATCAATCAGAAAATCATTTCAATATAACAAGTTAGGGAATAATATTTCTCATGTTATATGAGATAATCTTATTTCCTACACACATGAGGCCCATGTGGGTCCATGTAAAAAAAATAAGAGAGAAAAAGAAAATATGGATCCCACATATTTTTATATGTATAAGAGAAATTTATTTTCTATAATATGAGAAATACTAAACCCAATAAGTTAATATCATCAAACTTCAAGGTAGCTTTTTTTTTCTCATATATTTTTCAAATTTATATGAGAGTTGATTCCATCTCTTTAATTCGTTAAATCTTTTTTTTTTAACTTAATTCTCTATTTCTAAGGCAGTTCAATCAATTTATTAAATTAGTTTTTGTCATCACCAACCTTCACAAAATACAGATGTGATGGAACTCATAATATATATATATATATGTGTGTGTGTGTGTGTTAGAAAAAGTTGTATTAAAGTGAGCATGTTCTTAAATCATATAAGTAAAGTTGTATTGATTCTGAATTTAATTTAAATTATGACGTGATTTTATTAAATCATTAAAATTTAGAAGTGAGTACACCTTACTTATGCACTTTAAACATAACTATTTTATATAATAGAAGCTCTTCCATTAATTATTTTTTCCATCTATAGATTTTGAAAATATGACTTTTTGACCTTTTTGTTCTTCATTAATTACAAAATAATCATTTTGTCCCTCACCCAAAATAATTCACCCATTTGCCCATGTTTAATCGATTAAACCACGACCTTAATCGATTAAATAATCAAAATATTCCAAAAGCGTTGAACCCGTTGTTTAATCGATTAAGCCACAGTTGTTTAATCGATTAAACAACGTCAGAAACCCTTATCTACATATCTCAGTCTCATTTCACTTATACTCATTTTTTACACCAAAATCTCTCTCGTTTTTCATCTCTAGTTCAACTCATCAAGAGGCTATTTATTCCCACCATCTCTAAAGCTTTAATCTTGTGAAATCATTGTCATTACACTTACATATTCCATTTGTTCTGGTACCCAAAAAATCCAAACCCTAGTCCCAATTTAGTGTGAAAGATGAGCTCAAGTTCAAACACGTATGTTACACTTATCTACCACAATGGGAGGAATTTTGAAGGTTCCAATAGTGTCCAATTTGAAGGAGAAATACAAATGATAAAAATCAAATGGAGCACTACATATAACGAGTTCAAGGAGAGAATTCACCAAAAACTAGGCTACAGGAAGCCAATGTATTCATCAGTTGATAGCCAGGGTAGAAACTATAGTTGGTAATGATTATGTATATTACATTCGTAGCAATATCTGTGATGATGAAGATGTGAAGTGTGTCTTAGATGCATTTGGTAACCGAAAATTTCAAATTTTAATTGAGATATATGTTGAAGTTGATTATGGTCAGTCGTCATCTCCACCCATGCATACAAGAAGTCCACAATATTTTGGTCAAGAAGACAGAGTTGTCGATTTATCTGCACCTACACAAGGGTTAAGTCAGATAACATTGAGGGAAGGAGAGGAGGAGGAGGATCTGGAGAGCGATAAGGAGGGAGAATCTGAGAGTGATATTCCACTAGGTGACACCTCAGATACTGACGTGGAGGGTGATTTTGATGCTGACACAAACCAATAAACCTGAGTTTCCTAGTTATGCCACCACTTTATGTTGACCCAATTAGCAGTGGTAAGTTAGTAAATTAAAGTTTTTATTTAACATTTCATATTTGTGCTATTATTGGTACTGACAAAAATGTAATGATTTAGACGTAGGGCCTGAGATTGAGCCATTTTGGAACGAAAATATAATTTCCCTCAGCATAAGATTTAATTAATAGCATGTAATTACGCAATTAATCTTGTATTAGTGGGTTGAATTAGGTAAAGTATCTAATTAAATGAATTAGGGTCACTTTTGAGGTAAAAAGTGCAGTCAGTGAAAATTATGAGGTAAAAATGTGTGTAAGCAAAAATACCCAAAATATAAAAGTAAAAGTAAAAATATCCTAGAAAAATATTCAGACCTATAGGTAAAGTTTGAAAGAGAACGGAGTTAACTAGATAGATAAGCTTTTACCCGGTGAAAATAACTTAACTATGTTAAGTTGTGAAACACAAGCTAAACCCACACTTTCCTTCTTCTTCTTCTGTGATGGGAATAGAGAGTGAGAGGGAGAGAATCCAATTTTGAAGCCCAAACCCTAACTCACTCATCTCCCACCCAAATCAATCCATTCCAAAAGCAAACTTGCATCTTCAAAACCCACCACTCCTTGTTAGTTGGGAACCATTGTAGGTGCAAATCTTGGCTTGTTTGGGGGGGGGGTGAAAAAATTAAAGACTGGAGGAGTTTAGAGGCTTTTCCTTCAAGGGGAGTTTAGGAGATCAACATTCCTTGGTTGTGTGACCTTGTGTGGTAAGTTTTCACTCCTCAAACCTTGTTTCCATGGAGATTGCATGAGGTTGAAGATGATGAATAGTGATTTTGTGAGTTTTATGACTTTGAGTTAGATTCAAGCTAAATCCTTTTACAAATGTTGTTAGGAATGATGAATAAATGGTAGAAATGAATTTAGATAGTCATTTGATTATACTATGAAAATTGCAAGAATATATGCTTGGTTTGTGGATTTTCTTGCATTTGTAAGCAATGGTTTGGTTGGATATTGATTGTGTCTATGTGATTGCTAGGATTGAGGCAATTGGACCATCCTTGAGTGACCAACCATTGGAGGAAGCTATGGAGGTTGATTAGCTCACTTGAATTGGTGAGTTTAGGCCTAATGTATGGCAATTGGTTGTTTTATGGTGGATGAACATATTGATATTCATTGATGGTATTTATGGATTGTATGATACCTTAATGTAGGTATTAATTTGTGAAGCTTGGTTGATTGCACATTGGTGGTGAACAAATGTTGAGTTGGAAGCAAATTGAGGTAAGTCTTCGGATCTTGGGAATTGATTCCTTAATTGTTCCAGCAAGCCCTGAATGGGTAGTGATTGTTGATAGTATATGCAATAAAGTAGTTTGATGCTTTGTTATACGTATGTGTATGCACTTAGTGTGGCACATGATGGTGTTTCCCTATGTTGGTATGTTGCATGATGATGCGTAATTCATACTTGGTAGTTTAGCTGACCAGTAGGACTATTTGCATATGAGTATCCTTAGGACAACATGAAAGCTCGAGGGGTGTCTCATGGAGCTGTTTTACACACTGTTTGAATATGTATTTACTACATTATTTACTGATTATTGTTATTATACTATGAGTTAACTATGGGGTGGAGAAATACTCCAAGGACCCCTGGTTTACCGAGGTATATTCGTATATCTTACTCCGTGATGTGGGGACCCCTTTTCAGGTACAGATGCTGCAGGAGCCTCTTGTGGCAAGTGGCCATACTTGGACTAGATTGATACATGAGGATGTTGCATTATTTTGATTATGCATGTCATTTAGTAGTTCCTATGTATAGGATTTATATTTGAAAGTCATTTGATATATGTACAACATGCTTGATTTTGGTGGACTTAGCCTATGCTTATCTCCTTTGATGTTTCTTTTGTTGATGGGAGCCAAGGATTTAATCATAGTGTTTTGTAGCTAAGTCCTAGGGATATGTATTAAAGACATTTGAATATTGTGGAATATTGTACTTATTGTATATATGATGGAAGGGCACGGATGCCTATTTTGATAAATGTGTGTGTCTTGAAATAGCTAAGAATCGTATAATGAAGTGGTTGTATAATGTCTATTAGGTGAACGAAAACCTTTGGGGTTGAGAATCAATGTAAATATAAGGATATAATGTCTTTTTGTCTATTTTTCATATCCTATATGAGAGATTTGGACCCTTGTATCTTAATGGAAGTTATAGATCCTTTTCTTAGCTTTCCAACGAGACCAAGATTGCATCAATCGGATAAGTATAACTCAAGTTACGGGTAAAATACTAAAGTAGGGTGAAATCACCAGATTGGCGCTGTTAGCGTGGGAAGACGTGAAGAAGTCAGTATTTCTGCGCTACCAGCGCGGGTTTCGCGTTTTCAGCGCAGGAACCCTGTGAATTCAACACATTTTCTTCAAAAATTCATAACTTGAGCTAC